CGGCTGCGCTTGTTGAGAAGGATGTTGCATCTCATCATGCCTTTGCTCGGTACGAGCTGAAGAAGGACGTGGCATGTCATCATGCCTATGCTCGATACGAGGTGGAGAAGGACGTGGCATGTCATCATGCCCTTGCTTGGTACGAGGTGGAGAAGTCTCTAGCGTGTGGTGGTCATGGTCATGGGCCGGTGAGTATACCTCCCCGTCCTCGATGGGTCGCTCCAGAGGATAAACTTCAGTCGGAGTTGGCGAAGACTCGGTCAATACAATGTCCCGTCTGTGCTAGAGGATGAACTGGTTCATGACATCTCCGAGTAACACGAGCCCCACGGGAGTAGGGTGTTCTATCTTCCAAGTCATGAACTCGAGCTTCACGGTATGCACCTCGACCCGAGTGTAGTCCTACGGGATGTCCCTATTGTGCCGCGTGTCGCCCGGAGGGTGTGCCACGCCCGTTGCCACCTCAATGATCACGTTTTGCCTGCCCATTGGAACCACCAATTTGCAACTGGTTGGCGCCCGTATGCGATCGACGGGGGTTCCGATTGCATTGGAACCTTGACTGCTAGGAACATCCAGAGGGCTGCCAACTACCGCCAATTCTCCGGGCGGCCCCATTAGTGTATGTGGCTCCATCGTAGACAGTCCTTTCTCCACCAACATCTTTTCAACTAGAGCCTTCACTTGGCGCTCAAGATTAGACTCTCGGTCTCTGCCATGTTTCTTGTACATGTGCCTCTCCTCACGAATCCGTGCTTCGGGACATCCTCTTCCCTAGCCACCGGTGCGCCCTGTGTGCTCGGGGTTTCCCAAGGCACCAGAAGCTCGTCCCTCTCTCTGGAAGGGTTGAATGCGCCCTTCTCCTTGTCTTCAAAGAAGTTTCAAGTATCTTTGATACTACCTCTGGTCTCTCGGCTTAGCAAACTTGAGGCTACTACCGGATGAATCCACACTCCTCGCAGATATCCACTTTGTTTGAGGTGTGCCTTCAACTTCGGCACTTCCAGTATTCCCGGCAGCTTTGACCTCTGCGTCCATCTTCCTAAAGACCTCTTGCTTGCCAAACAGTAGCCGGGGGGCCTAGACGAGGGTAGTGTTGGTTCTTCTTCACTTTTCACGTTACGGGCACTGAGGGCCAATGATGCCTCTGAAGTCTTCTCAGCCATGAGCTCCTCCCATTGACTAGGAGTTATGTTGCCATACTCGTGGAAAGGAGTTAACTTCATTGGATAAAGTTCTTGTTCGAGATCCGACCGCCAACGCCGAAAGCTCGCCCCATTATCTTAAAAGCATTTTCTTGTACCAACTCGTGCATTCCTCCGGAAACTCAAGTTACGCTTGACTTCTCCCATAGGTCTACCTTTTGGCTCATAGGTACAAGATTCCGACCACGGACGGATAGCGGGTTTAACTTATCTCTAACTACAAACCCGATGTGATTACGGAATTTCGCATACATATGTATATGGCTCAAGGATCCGCCTGTCTGCCCGACCTCTGTTATCACATAGCATGCCTTGTCGTGATATTGGTTTGGCTTTCTAATCCCCCCTCGCTTCCTCTTTGGTCAAGGGTCTCGGCCGTGGTTGTGTCCTAAGGTTGTGGAGCGCGAGGCCTCATTGTGAGTATCTGTGGCTCCTTCCTCTCGATCTCCTTTGCCCCTTCACGTATTGTCCCAAGAAGACGAGCCGGAGGCCGACGTCGTCTTTTTAGAGGTTGAGTAGGGACGACCTGTGTATATGGCAGGTCAAAAGTGTTAGCAGAGGTAACATATAGCCATAGCATTAGCCAAATTTACAAGCTACTAAGGCTTTATCCGTACCTCGTTGTTCGGATCAAAATCCTTGTCCAACTCGTCCTCCGTTGGCCTCCGTCTGGGTTCTTGTGGGAAAGGATCATCGGGACTTACATATCCCCGTGATGAGGTGTCGTCATCCTCATCCTCATCATCATCCCCTTCTTCGCCTTGGGCATCCTCTCCGCCTTCTCTTCCCTAGGCTCCCCCCACTGGATCCTCATCATCGACAAGGTCCTCCTGAGTAAGCATCACTTCTAGACCCTTTTCTAACTCGTTATCAAACTGCTCCTGAGTAAGCTGGTCATCTAGTTCTTGTTCTCCATGGGATGGCTGCTCATCATTCACGGTGCATCGGGATGCACTCTTTGATGTTCGCGACATTTCGTGCCTTGTTCTAAGAGATGCAAGAAAAAAAGTAGTATAAGTAGTAGAAGTAGTAGTACTAGTGGTAAAAGTAGTAGTACTAGTAGTACTAGTAGTAGTAGTAGTAGTAGTAGTAGTAGTAGTAGTAGTAGTAGTAGTAGTACTTGTAGTAGTAGTAGTCAAACAAAGAGAAAGCAGGACTAGCCCACTGCATATGCTGTATGACTCAAACAAGATGGATAGAAGAAAAGATAATGAGGATCTACAGTGTCCTTGCATGAGTGACTACTTTTGGTTACTCAGAATTCTATTGTCCAATAAATAAAGTTACTGCTCATATTTGGTTATCTCTGATTCTGTGTTTCTTGGGTTTCTACTTCTAGTGATCATTGTCTTAAATTCAGGTTGACTTGGGAAGTCATTTTTGTTAGTAGATTGGTGATTGTTCTCTGGTCGTCCTGAATATGGGGTCCATATTTAAGTTTCTATGCTTTTTTCTTTGACTTGTATGGACTTGTTAGGTACCTCCAGAAAAATCTCCAAGAAAACCATGCCCCTTACAGATAAATGTTTTACTAATCTAGAAGCTGATTATTGCTATCCTATAAGTTGGGTGAAGAGTGAGTGCTGAACAACAGAAGTCATCAAGCAGAACAAATTGTCAAAATCTTGGATCAATAAACAGCTGCATCAAATTCTCAAATTCTGATGGAACACCACTACGCAAAAGTGCTAAGTGGTGGTACCATAAAAAAATTTGTGGTATGAAATGGCAACTCCATTTCATTTAATCGATATGACACCTCAATATGTTATAAAATGAAACTTGGGCAAGTTCCTTCGAATTCAAAAAACAATTGGCTTGGTTAATATGACTAGTCACTGCAGTCCTTCCCTTTTAGTTTTTATAACAAAAAACAATTGGCTTGGTTAATATGACTAGTCACTGTACCTTAACTAGAAAACCCCAAAATGAATTTTTTACAATGCTGCGAAATTTCCTAGTGTTATTCAACTTGTTCCAGAACCCCAACTTGTTTGGGACTTAAAGGCTTTGTTGTTGTTGTTGTTGTATTCAACTTGTTCCAGAACATTGTCAATAAGCATATCTATTATCTATACCAAACATATTTTCCCCTGCATGATGACAGTTCCAGTTCTTGAACTTCTATTTTTTCTAGCAACAATGTTGAGTGATTGATGAACACTAACCTGTATATCAATTTTTCTAGTTTTAATCACAGTTTAGCGTGAAGATGGTCCTTTTACCTTTGCACCTGAAAAATGCAGGATAGTGAAGCGTATGCTTGTCTACTGAATGTCATGGCACCTGAATGCAGTGCAAAACCATCCGCGATGTCTGTAAAAGATCTACTTCATAGAGCAAGGTTAATCCTTGAGCATGCAGATAGGATGGGCTGCAAAAGATACCTGACTCCAAAAGACATAGTTGATGGTTTACCCAATCTAAATCTTGCCTTTGTGGCTCATATTTTCCAAAAAAGGTATGTATGTATTGATGTTTTACATAGGTCAATATGATGCTTAAAAACTGTGGTTAGCATGTGGTATTTGCTACAAGCTGCCTATCATTCTATAATATAGGTTTTTCTATGGCATTATGTTTGTTCCGACTTTTCACTCACTAATATAAGTTTGTTAGGTGTCTCCATGGAAATTTCCTAGGTCGAACATATTTTTTATTCAGATACAAAGCAATTGCATTTTGCTTTATTGACTTGATGCAATTCATGCATAGATGTGCCTCAAATCAGATATATTATCTCTGCAAGAAGTTAAATATATGGCATTCATATCTCAACAACTAGATATGGTGCCTTGTTGAGAAATTTACAGTATGTTGAGTTAATATCTCAACTGTATGAGCATATGTTGAAAAGATCATAATGCAACTCTTTCCTGTTGAATTTCCCTTCGATTGAACTATGTGTGTATTTGTCAGAAAGGGAAGTTTTATTACCATGTCTTTGTTGCAATGCCCTGGACTGGCCTCTTGTTTACAGGTGTTTAGATTAGAGACACTAGGGAACAGGGTCGTCCCAGATGAGAATATAAACTATTAACTATGTTAGGCAGTGATGGCTTGGGGGAGCTTGATTACACAATGTTTGCTGACAGCATCTATCCATGCCATAGGACAGCATGTGGAGCGCAAATCAGCAGTAAACTACTTCCACATTCTAAATGATTTCGCTTTACTTGACCCTTTATTGCAGAAATGGGTTGTCCAAACAAATGAAACAAGTTTCCTTTGTGGATGGACTCTCTGATGATGCTCAAGTTTCCAGGGAAGAAAGGTCATTCCGGCTGTGGATTAACAGCCTTGGAATTTCTACTTACATCAACAATGTGTTTGAGGACCATAGAAATGGGTAGGACATACTTGTCTCCATCTTAATATGCGAAGAACAAGCTGATTCTGTCTCTTATACTTCATACTTGAGTTGTAGATGGGTTCTGCTTGAGGTAATTGACAAGATTGCTCCAGGCTCAGTTAATTGGAAGATGGCAAATCGCCCACCAATAAAATTACCATTCAGGAAAGTCGAAAATTGCAATCAAGTTTTGAAGATTGGAAAAGAACTAAAATTTTCTTTGGTGAATATCGCTGGAAATGATATTGTGCAAGGGAACAAAAAACTGATATTAGGTAAGTGGTACTTTAACCAATTACATAGAGCATATATCTCGGTAACATAGTATCCTGTAAAAATTATAAACCATATGTTCTTTCTGATTTTCCAGTAGCATTTGGACAATAATTCTAGCACAAATCAGGCTGGCAGCATGACAGGAAAACAAACCACATACATGGACATTATGGCATCTAAAACCATGCAATAAGTTCAAACAACGCAAAAAGACAAGCAGCATATGCTCAAATCAATTACCAGGAACTAACAAATCTTGGTGCATGGTAAAAGACAACACAGAAGCAATAAGTTATATTTGCAACATGTGAGATTAGTCCATCCATGTTTTGTGAGTTAGACAAAACCAACATTGGGCAACAGTCAGACAAACTGAGCCCCATTTACATATCGGATAATCAAATAAAAAAATGGCGTTACACTACCAGAACTGTGACACATTACCACTGCACAATAAGAAGGGCTGGTATATTGGACAAAAGTCAGAATGTGGTGCTTAATATCCATCATAGAAGGATACAAAATAAATAAAAAAGAATATGCCCTTGTAATCACTTGATGTGCCAATGATAATGAAAGTAGACCAGAAAAAAAATCCCCACATCATTCTAGAAAAAAATAGATCGTTACTGCAACTAAATGATCATCCAGGCAATTAGCCAACCCCTAAGTGCAGTAGCAGTACAGATACCACAAACAATGCATCTATTCGCGATTCCATTACAAATTTCCCCGCAAATGACAAATGCTAGCATAGAGAAAACTAATCAATTTAGCGTGCTGATATCCAGTATCACAAAATCAGCACAAACAACTAATGGTCACTAGAGATGATATACGGTAGCAGCAGGCAAGCTATACCTGACCGATGATGACTGCCTTGACACGGTCGAACGGGGTGGCGTTGAGCGCGTGGAACACAAGGTGCGGCGGCGGGTACACGGGCAGCGGGCCATGGAGCCGCTCGTGGGCGACGAAGCGGCAGAGCTCGAGCGCATATGGCTTGCGCAGCTCCCCGTGGAGCGCCTCCGCCCACATCTCCACCACGAGGAGCTCCTCAAGCTTCGGCGCCGTAGGCCACTCAGCGGATTAGGGGGAGATCCAGGGGATGGTCCTCAGCGGATTAGGGGGGGAGCTTGGCGTCGGGCAGGTCGTGGCCACAGGCGGGCGGCGCTCGTCGATGCACGCTGGTTCGGCGGGTAAGGCGCGGCAATGCACGGACGGCGTGGGCGGTCAGGCGTGCTGGCCCCGGCTTGCGGATGCGGAGAGGGCTGCAGCAGTGGAGGACAGCCCTTCCAAACCCTAGCCGGCCTGGCAAGGACGGAGGTCGAGGTCCGAGACGGGCGTTGCGGCCTGGGGAACAGCGGGGGCGGCGGTTGGGGTCAGGGAGACGGTGGAGGAGGCAGTGGAGGGGTCAGGGAGGGGCAGGCGACGGCGGTGCAGGCGGCGCGACGGTGAAATTGGGCAGCCTGACGGTGGAGGAGCCCGATTTCGTCCATCACTCAGCGCCCACAGCGACGGTCACTATAATATACCTCGAGGGCACTGTAGAGGCGGCTGAGGTTATAAACCGTTTCTACAGGGGCACTGTAGGTTATAAGCCGTCTCTACAGGAGACTGTAGGGGCGGCTAAAGTTATGAGCCGCCCTTACAGTTGAATTTTTTTTTCAAAATTTTAAATCAAAATGAATTATTCACATATAAATAATAAACAATACAGTACAAAATTTTATAATTATTTTTTATAGATATATTTATATATACAATAACTAAAACAACTACAACAGTTTAAAATTGCAAAATTGAACCTTTAAAAATGGGAAAAAAAATTTAAATTTTAAAAAATTAAAATCAAAAATACTAAAATAATTTTGAGACATCAAATGATCTCAAATGAAAATTTGATAAACATCAACTTTGTAGAGGTCATGAAGATCTACAACTTTTATTTTGGTCATCTTATCATTTGATAAAATTTGAACCTTTCAAATTTGAAATTTTAAAAAATGACAAGTTTAAACCAAAATTTGAGACCCAAAATGATTTCAACATAAAAAGTGATGAATACCAAAGTTGTTCAACTCATTAATATCTACAACTTTTATTTTAGTCATCTTGTCATTTGACAAAATTTGAACCTTTCAAATTTGAAATTTTGAAAAACAACAAGTTCGAAACAAAATTTGAGACCCAAATTAATTTCAACATAAAAAGTGATGAATACCAAAGTTGTTCAACTCATGAATATCTACAACTTTTATTTTGGTTATTTCTTCATTTGACAAATTCTTAACACACATTATTCACTAATCTTACACATGTCTCATATAGTTTATAAAACCTTATGAGAGATGTGTCACATTTATGAACAATGTCATTACCACTTTGTCATATGAAAAAATAACCAATACAAAAGTTGTAGATCTTGATGAGTTATTCAACTTTGATATTTATCACTTTTTCAGCTGAAATCATTTAGGGTACCAAAATCTTGTCTGAAGTTGCATTTTTTTGAACAAAAAATTTAAATTGTTCAAACTTTTCATATGTATATATTAACAAAACCAACAAACTAAATTGATAGAGAATGATTTTAGAAAATTTTAAGGAAAAAAAATCATCAGATTTGGAATTAGTACGAGGAAGAAAAACAAGTTATAAAGTTGACCAACAGATTAAAAAAAATCACACTGTTCACTATGATCATGTAAGGATCATCTAGAACAGTGTGATTTCTTTTTTTAATCTGTGGATAAACATTGTAACTAGTTGTTCTCCCTCATACTAACTCCAAATGTGATGTTTTTTTCCTAAAAATTTCTAAAATCATGCATCAACATTTAAGTTTGATCAAACTTGGATGTGACAATGTTTTACATATTTTAAAATTTAAAATTTGACAAGTTTAAACTAAATTTTCAAACCCTAAATGATTTCAGATGTAAAAGTGATGAATATAAAAGTTGTTCAACTCATCAAGATCTACAACTTTATTTTGGTTATCTTGTCATTTGACTAAATTTGAACTTTTCAAATTTTGAAATTTGAAAAAAGACAAGTTGAAACCATAATTTGGACCCCCAAATTATTTCAACCGAAAAAGTAATGAATACCAAAGTTGAATAACTCATGGAGATCTACAACTTTTATTTTGGTAATTTCATAATTTGATAAATTCTTAGTACACATTGTTCACACAAACATACGTGAATGTAGTCTCAAACACACACATACATAAATGTAGTTTCAAACACACATACATAAATGTAGTCTCACATACATGAATGTAGTCTCACACACATATACATGAATGTAGTCTCACACACACATACATAAATGTAGTCTCACACACACATACATGAATGTAGTCTTACGAACACTGACACACTACATAAACTAGCTAGCTCACCGTGCCAACTTTCCCCTTGACACCTTTTCGTTCCCATGGCAATACATCTTTGGGCAGGTTCTTTTCCACAGCCTCGATCTTCTTACAAAAGTCTGTGAATAACGGCATCTCATCGCGCTTATTGTAAGCTTCAACATCGTCCACGCCATTAACTCCGATGATATGTTGTTTCCCGGAGGCCACCACATGCTTTGTCTTCTTATTTGAGGGGAGGTTACTTTGCGGGTCGGGCATATAGAAGACTTGCGCGACACGTTCAGTGAGCACCCAAGGGTCATCCTGGTAGCCTACATTCTGGAGGTCGACGACTCTCTGTCCGATCTCATTGAATTGATGTTGCTTGATCCAGCGGCATCGAAACAGGGCCACCTTTATATCCCTTCCATAATCAAGTTCCCATATATCTTCAATTATGCCAAAGTACAGGACCTTTCGCCCCACTCCGTTGAGAGCCTCTATTCGGACGCCGCTGTTCTGATTCACAGATTTCCTGTCCTTTGTGTCGATATAGTATGTGTACCCATTGATGTCATAAGCATTCCAAGACGTCACCTGTTTCGATGGCCTGGCCGCCAACCGACTGATGGTAATAGAATCTATGGTTTCTCTAGGCTGTATGTTCTGGTCCTTTAACCATGATGTCAGGCGTTGCTTATGCTGTTTCATGACCCAATCATCTGAACGGCCATTCCTCTCAGCCATAATGATAGCCATGTGTTCATCAATGTACGGTTGCATCACTGCCATACTCTGTAAGACACTGTAATGCGTCCGACTCACCTCTCTGTAATCATTGTCGAGGAACACTTTCCTACCACTTGTGCCCTTCCCAGCTAGCCTTCCCTTGTGACGAGAATCAGGATTACCAATCCCTCTCTGTACTTTTAGCCACTCTTGGCAGCACTCGACGACTTCTTCGGAATTGTAACCCTCAATCATGGAGCCCTCTAGGTGTGTTCGGTTATGCACGTATCGGCTTAGAACCGACATGAACTGCTCGTAGGACCACATTTCATGCAAGAAGCTAGGGCCCAGCGCCTCGATCTGATGAACTAGGTGAATCATGAGATGTACCATTATATCAAAAAAAAGCGAGAGCTAAACACATCTCTAGCTGGTTCTGGGTCTCCACCATGAATTCAAGTAGGTCACTCAGCTCTTGCCTGCGAATCGTCTTCTATGAGATCTTCGAAAAGAAGTAGCACATGCGGGTGATGGCCATCTTTAGGAACTCTGGCTTTATAGCCCGGATTGCAATTGGTAGGAACACTGTCAACATCACATGACAATCGTGAGCCTTGCAGTATGTTAATGATAGGTCCTTCATCGACACTAGCTTTTTTGGGTTCACCGAAAACCTAGTCGGCACTCTGACCCCCCTAAGGAAATTGCATATAGCTCTCCTCTCCTCTAGGGTTAGGTTGAAGCTAGCCGCGGGAAGACTGTACTTGCCATTATCCTACTGTACCGGCCAAAGCTCCCGCATCACGTCCAGCTGCACCATGTCTTTCCGTGATCTGAGACCATCCTTTGACTTGCCTGTGTCCATCAAGGTAGCCATGAGACTCTCAAAGACATTCTTCTGCACGTGCATCACATTAATGGCATGGGGGACCTCCAAGTCTGGCCAATAAAGCAGGTACTGAAAGAAGATCAATTGCTTCTTGAATGGTATGCCTTAGATGGGAGGTGTGCTTCTATCTCTGATCGTTCCATCTGGATTCTTCTTTCCATAGACGACGTGTATGTTTTGGACCATTCGGAACACTTATTCTCCATTATGACGTCTCTCTGGAGGAGGTTCATCCTCCGGGATGCTGCCATAGTATCTTAGGTACAATTTGTCGTGGTACTTATGACATGTCTTTAAGAAGCGTCGGTTCCTTATGTAAACTATCTTCCTGGATCCATCTAGGAACACCCATTTAGTACCATCCAAACAGACTAAGCATCCAGTCTTGCCTTTGAACCTGCCGAGACAGGAGGCAAAAGTAATGAGGTAATCATTGGTAGTAACAAATATTATTGCTTTGCATATGAAGTCCTCCCGCCGAAACGCATCGTACATTGGCTCCCCATACCTCCATAGCCTCTCCATTTCTTGCATCAGAGGCTCCAAGAACACGTTTATATCAATGCCTGGTTGTTTGGGGCCGGAGATAAGAATGGTGAGGAGAAGGTACTTCCTCTTCTGACACAAATACGTTGGGAGGTTGTACATGGTCAAGATGACTGCCCATGTGCTGTGGTCGGTCATTCTCTCATTGAAGGGATTCATTCCATCGGTGCTCAAGCCGAACCGTACATTCCGTGGGTCATCACTGAATTCTGCTTTATACTTGGCATCGAACGCTTGCCACTGGCTACAATCAGTCGGGTGTGCGATCGTATCATCATCCACCTTGCACTCATCATCCCATCATGTCATCAGTGCGGCTTCCTTAGGGTTTAGGAACATACGCCTCAAGCGGTCGGTCACTGGCAAGTACCACATAACCAGGGCAGGAATTCTTCTCTTATTTGCATCGTTGCCTAATGGAGTTTCCTCTGGAGGCTAAGATTCTTGCACCACCTTCTTCCCACCCTTCTTCCTCTTTCCTGTGGAAGCTTCCACCCCACTTTGAAGATC